TGTTGGATTTTATATTTTCAAAGAGCTCTCTGGTTTTGTTTCCTGTGTAATTAATTTCTGCTTTACCTTCTGTCCTTGCAAAATTTGTTGGATTTATTTTGATATTCTTTTTCTCGTGTTTTGACTTGAATGCTTAATGCAGATTCATTGACCTTCGAACTTTCTAGTGTTCTAACAAATGTGTTTGATAGAAACACACACACACTGTCGTTCAGTACTTCTTTGGCTGCGTTCCCCAGGTCTCAATAATTATTTCTTTCAATGATGTTCATTTCTATATGTTTGTCCACAGAGAAGGCCAAGAAGAAAAGCTGTAGGGAAGGAAGCTGGGTGAAGCCTTCTCAGCTGAATGAGGGGCTATAGACACCATTTCTGCTTTTGACTCTCTTCTCTTGTTCCTTTCTTTCCTTTTCTTTCATCTCCCATTTTCCCCAGTATCTTCTTCCCTCTACTCTCCCTCTCTCCCACATACAGCTATCTTCTTCCTGTCGCACCCAGAGAACAGATGAACTCTTGTCCAAATGGCTTGCCTTTCCCCAGGAGGACCTGCCTTTAAAAACTGGATACAGCAGAGAAGAGGAGAGAAAAACCATAACATAAAGGAAGGTACGGGTGGGTGACTGAAATTCTAAGCCAGGAGGGAAATAATGGAGCAGGAAGGAGAGAAAGGTAGTAGAATTCTGGTGTCTCTAAGACACTCTAATTAGGGAAGCTTCTTTACATCCAAGGCTGATTCATACTCTCGCTCACTGAGGCTTCTTGGAGACAGGTGCACTCCAGAGAGGCTGGGGACCTGAAGAGAAATGCCTGTCCGCACGGTGTAGAGACCTGGCAAAGCAGTAGCAAATTTACTAGTGAGCTACTGTGGCTCTTAGGTAAACCCTACCAGAAAGAATACTATTGCTCAAGCAGGAAGGTTTTATTCTCTCAACATTTAGTGGTTTCATTGGAATATAAGCACCGTGGGCTGAATACAGAAAACTAGGCATTCTCTCCATCACTCTAGATTTGAATTTTTACTAAGCTGATCATAGGTACACTGGGAGATATAAATAGGCTGACGATGGTGACTGCGGTGGGCAGAGCAATGGCCCCCCCAGAGATGTCTATCTCTTAATCCCCGGAACATGCCAAAGGTGCTTTGCAGTTGTAATTAACTTAAGGATCCTGAGATGGGGTGATTATCCTGGATCATTCACATTAAACCCAATGTAATCACAAGGGTGTTATAAGGGAAAGAGGGAGACAGGAGCGTCCTAGAGAAGGAGGAATGACAATGAAATGATGCCCTTGCTGGCTGCCAAGAGGCTGTTAATCTCTAGAAGTCAAAAACAAAAATAAAAACAAGGAAAGGGATTCTATCCTACAGCTTCCAGAAGGAAGACAAGTCTTCTAAAACCTTGCTCTGAGCCTCCTAATACCCACGTCTAACTTCTGACCTCCAGAAATAGAAGATTAGAAATTTGTTCTGTTTTAAGGCGTTATTTCGCAGTATTTTGTTAGTAACAGCAGGAAGCTAATACGATGAGAGAAATCACGAGTGCAACAGAGACTAGGCAGGCATCTTGGGTGTAACTGCTGGTTTATATTCTAATCTATGAGACCCAGTGCTTCTCAGGATGAACACGGGATCTGCCCCAAGCATACTTTGTTTATAGGTTGGGGGTTTGGGCTTCTCCCCAGACATTCTGGGTTTCGCAGACCTACAGCACTGCCTCAGTATGCATCACGACAGAATGAGCCAAGTTTTGGGGCCGTGTGGATGACTTCAGCTGGACTCTCAAAAATTCCCATGTCTCTGAGCTGGAACCCACACCCTGGAGAGGCTCTCCTGAACAAGGACACCACAGGCCTGTGTTGTACTGCCCACTAGTGGCTGAGGTTTGGTCGATGAAACCTCTGGGCTCCTTGAGTCACATGCCACTAGGCTTAGCGACTGCAATCCTTTGGAGAACACAGAATGCCGCTGAGTTATGTTCAAAGGAAAGAATATGTGAAGGGCAAAAGTCTAGGCGGAGTGGGAGATGGCATAGGGAGGAGGGGAACAAGGACGGGACTGTGTATGTGCCAGTGCCAGCCAAAGGCGGTGGCATTTTGTGCCCCCGAGCTAATGATTCCCACCCCAATTCCCACCTTAATGAGCCCAGCAATGCTACCACATGTGCAGAGCACATAAATCAGGAAGTGCATTTTATATTTAGGATACTTATTTTAAAAAATTAAATTCTTGAAGAACATGGGTCTTCCTTGACTTTTGGATATTTATTTTATCCCTTTCATCCAACTCTTACAGATGAGGGCTTCAGACTATCTTTGGTTTATTTTCAGACTTGTCCCGGAACTCTGGAAAATAGTATGCAGTGCAAATATTGAACCTCATGTGCTGAGGCAGGCACCGTATTAGACACTTTATATTTTAAACTATGTGAAACCCATTAGATAATTAATGTCATC